CTAATAACTCACACAGAGAATGGATTTAAAATAGTCATATATCACAAGCCAACCTTCACCGAACAATAGGTCAACTTCAATTCCCACCATCCATACAATGTGAAGAAATGGGTCGTTTGATGCCGACAATAGAAGGCAAGAATTATATGGGGCGGCCCACGCACATGTCAACATAAGATGATAAGAGTCTCATTGAGTCCATTGCTAGCTCACCTGTTGATGCAATGTGTCGTGCGGGACAATTTTTCTTTACTGAATCTATCCGACATATCGATGTCTACCATTCGGCCATGCTTTGTCCAGTATTATCCCTTCATTCCAAAAGGGGATGATCACTTTCCTTTTCGTTCGATACATGATCATCCAGGCTAGATTTCATCGTCTCACATCTCATTACGGCTTTTCGATGTTTCTCCGGGCTTAATTTTATGCGAGGGGGCGTAGGTGCACCTTCAAATTCTCTACTATAACTGCAAGGAATCGAGTACACTCTATTGGCAATGTTCTCCGATGTATTAGAATTTACTCGGCAGACATTTCTCCGCAGAGTCGAACTGTTTTGTTCCGTTAAAATATGTGTTCGGATTAAATGGAGAGAATCTGAAAAATAGAATTATACACAAGTGAAAAATTCAATAAAACTCATAGAAGAAATCATTATAAAATATGTAGAGGTTCTGTGAATCTAAAAGAGAGTGCTTGCCAATGTGTAGGGTTCTGTGAATCTATGAGTGTGTGCTCGCAAATGTGTACAGTTCTGTGAATCTATAAGACTGTGCATGCAAATGTGTAGGGCGATGTAAAACTATGAGAGTATGCATGCAAATGTGTAAAGTTCTGTGAATCTATCAGAGTGTGCATGCAAATGTGTAGGATTCTGTGAATCTATGAGAGTGTGAATGAAAATGTGCAATGTTCTGTGAATCTATGAGAGTTTGCATGCAAATGTGTAGTATCCCGTAAATCTATGAGATTGTGCATGCAAATGTGTAAGGTTCTCCAAATCTATGACAGTGAGCATCAAATGGTGTAGAGTGCTGTGAAACACTGACAGTGTGCATGCAAATGTGTAGGGTTCTGTGAATCTATGAGAGTTTGCATGTCAATGTGTAGGGTTCTGTGAATCTATGAGAGTGTGCATGTATATGTGTAGGGTTCTGTGAATCTACGAGAGTTTGCGTGCAAATGTGTAGTATCCCGTAAAACTATGAGAGTGTGCACGCAAATGTGTAGTGTCCTGCGAATCTATGAGAGTGTGCATGCAAATTCCACTAGTATAAGCCCATAACCTGTTATATTAATAAAGCTTTCCTGAGAATGTGGGAAGTACCCTTGAGTGCAATCTTTCTCATTTCAATTTTTATTATTATTATTATTATTATTATTATTATCTTCGCACGATGTTCGTTTTCAACTTGAAGTCTTGCATTATGGATGTTTTCCATGGAACACATGCAACATCAGACCGATAATGCAGACTTTTGAAGCGATGGGACACTAGACTTTATTCCGATTATCTCAAAGTTCGGTATTATAAAGCCCCAACACCACAATGGTAACTGGGACAGTAATGGCTTGAAAGCCCCATATTCTACCAACTATTATTAGTATTAGTATTTCATGAAGCTGTATTTTGACGACTTTTCTTACAATTTAAATTCATTGACTATTGTCTTTGAAACTAACCCCTTAAAATTGAATGTTTTTTCTGACTTTTCGATATTTCTAATCTCCTTCCGACATTCTTGGGTAGTATAACTATTTCAGCCTGTGGGGATCAGCACACAAATTGTGATAAAAAAAAAACTTTCAAGAAGTTATTATTTCCTTAAAAATACCCTAACCACTTGTTGGATCAATTATCGTTAGGGGGCAAACATGGATATTTGACGATACAAGATCTACGTAAGAATCTAACACTTTCGCCCGACCCCTCGACCTCCGGCGTCTTACTCTTGGGGTTGAGGTGTCTACTCGGTCCTAACCGAACTTAAGGGAGTGGCCATAGGTCCCCTGAGCATCCATAGATTATTCGACCGGTCCGCTGGTTTAATCCTGCTTCCTGCCCACGTTGTGATTTGTTTGATCCAGAAAGCAGAAATGATGTCCGTCCATTCACGGTCGACTGAAGATGTAGACAGGGCTGGGGAGTCTGCGCTAAGAAATTTAGAATGCAGCAAAAACATTTAATATCTGCAGAAAGCCGGACAAACATCGATTCAATGGTTGAATTGGTAATGTCTTTTATATAGCAGAAAAGAATAGTAGAGAAGAGAAACAGGTTACAGAAAAGAAAAGTAAAAAAAAAAACTCATACACTGGATTCTAGAAAGAGAGAGAGTGTATATATGTGATTATCTTGTTGTTAAATCGTCTTAGAACGATATATGACTCTTGCGATGGGGGGATAAAGATTTCTGTGCTAGGCTTAAAGTTATAGTGGCGTTCCTCCTCCCAACGCTCGCCTGGGCCAATTCTCTCTTCAAGAATTTTTCTCCCGTCTGTCTCTATAGTATCTCCATAACTGCTGGGTAGGGTCTACAGGTAATCTAAGATCATGGGGTAGTTTGGCTTGTATCTCCAGTAGTACTTCCCTTAATCGTTCTGGGGTTATTATCTCGAAGACAGGTGTCCCAGCGACAGCATATCTAATTGTGCTTCATGCTCCAACAACACCGTTAAAGAGTGACTTGTTTGACTGACCTTACTCATTACAGCGAATAATTGAAAATACCTTTGAAAAAAACCTTTCTAATTTCTGTAATTCGTTTGTTACAGACGTGGTTACATTAAAAAACATCTTTCTAAAAACCTGTAGGTGAGAAATCAACCAAGTGATACTCCCTCTATTCTTAGCCCATTCCAGCCTAGTAACATTGAGTATATATATTGAGTATATATATATATACGCTCTCTCTAATCGACTGAGCCATTGATTGTTATCTCTGTTCTACCGCCTCTAATTTCCTCTTAATTACTCTCACTTCGTCTTCAGAGACTGTACCAAACAACACGCTTAATGCCTTTCCCATTAAAGGTAAAACTGCCCTCTTTTGCCTGGTCCGTAACAACTTTATTCCTTTCAAATAGTAACTCATATCCTTCCATTGTCTCTCAAGTATTAGGGATTACTGAGCTAAGGGATATAATATACGGTGGTATTCCGGAGTCTGTAAATATTCTCTAGCGACTTGTGTCTTGCGATGGAAGGATAAAGATTTCTGTGCAGGGCTTAAAGTTATAGTGGTGTTCCTCCTCCCAACGCTCTCTTCTCTCTTCAAGAATTTTCTCCCGTTTGTCTTTTTCAGCATAACTACGCGTTTATATAGATAAACCCGGCTGATTATAATTGACCCCCGGCCCTACTACTTCGCACGCAATTATAACGGTGTTCTGGCTGTTTCAACCAAAATCATGTGAATTCCAAAGTTCCTTCTAGCTAACTCAGCTCTATTTCAATTTTTAATCGATAAAAATTATTTCGACCATTTCCATTGTCTCCTAATGACCCAGATTCAATGGGTACTACTTCTGCCCTAGATCAGATTTCCTCATCAATAAACAAAATGCTCGGATTTAATTTCGCTATTCAAATTTACTCAAATTTCACTAAAAAAATATACGTGTGTGTGTGTGTGTGTGTGTGTGTGTTTCCCAGACTCTCTCTCTCTCTCTCTCTCTCTCTCTCTGTGTGTGTGTGTGTGTGTGTGTGTGTGTGTGTGTGTGTGTGTGTGTGTGTGTGTGACAAAAAGAGACAGCCCATACCAATAGATCATCAACTGCAGCTGATGGATGAAGACCACGTGGGCTTCTCTAGCCACTGAGTTGCATGAAACAAACGTCGTCCCTTCCCACAGCAAAGCTCTGATCAATATTGCTTCTGTTTCTGCTGATGCAAGGCCAGTATAGAAAGGCACTCAGTGAGAATGGAACGCATTACATTTATAATAATTTATAAAAAGTTTGTCAATAATTACTCTACGGCAGGCGCCCATTTGTCTCAACAAGGATCAGGATCGAATTCAATCGCAATTCATTCCGCCAGAAATTTTGGAAAGAGCATGCTGTACTGCTTGGCATTCGCACCGGAAGCTCCAATACGAACATTTCGAAGTGTTTGGGTGTCATTCCGAGGGCAGTTAAGAGGATTCAGAAAGAGTCGGATGAGTCTAATGGTGATCATGAAGATGTTTGGAGTGATCACTAATGATAGTGACGTTATGCCGCCATTCATATGCCCACAGGTCCATAGACTAAAAACGAAGGCCTACACCAAGTACGTTGACGAGATAGTGCTGCCCTGGGCCAAGAGGGTGGCTGCTGGAAGACCCTATGTCTGGCAACAGGACTCTGCATCATGCCAATTTCTGCGACCACATCACCCTTTACACCTGGCCACCTAACTCTAGATTGAAACCGCCTTGATTATTATGTGTGGGGTGCAGTTGAGCGGGAGACCAAAAAAAACTCCTTGTAACATCAAAGATGAACTGAAGGCAAGGTTCAAGGCAGCATTCACCAAGAAGGCCGCCCAGAAAAGTTGCAGGAGATTCCAAAGTTGTCTGGAGGTCGTGATTGAAGCCAATGGCGATTTTAATGAATAAATTTACTCCATAGAATTTCAACATAGTTTTGTGTAATTTTGGTAAATATATCTGTTAAAATTACATGTCAGTATTATTTTCATTTTTGTGTAATTTTAGACGACAATTTATACATCGCACCCTGTATTTGCAAATATCTATATATGAATGCATTTCTGTATGGAGAGACTATATATATATATATATTGCATGAATTATTGAAGATTTGCTCTTGAAGGAAATAGGGAAATGTGTGTCGGAGTAGGTATGTGTGCTCCCACCCGCCGTGAGTTTGAGAAACGATGTAGCAACAACTATTTCGAGTGTTCGTTTCGGTTTGCCCGCTTCTTCTTTTCATTGCGCTCGTCTTGTTGTTGTCGACCAATCATAAAACAAATTAATCGCCTGAAAATGACCTTAACGACTTGGGGTTGGCGTGAAAAGGTGGAGCGGCAAATACAAATTGGCTGTCCTGCCCGAACGAGCAAGAGAGACGACGGCAACAGTGACGAAAACAAAAGTCAGAGAACATTGAAAAGTGACATCTAACACGAACAAAAGACGAACAGAACCGGGTGAAAATATCGGTGAGAAATAAAGAAAAACAGGAGTAAGAAGAGGCTGTGGAGGGAGAAATAGACGATTTACAAGTCTTTCAAAAAGAATGAGACTGAAAAGAGAAAAAGAATAAGAAAAAGGTTTAGAATTTGGGGGAAAGATAGAGGTGTTAAACTGAAAATTAACAGAAAGGGAAAAGGAATGAAAATCACTGAATGTCTTAAGTTGAAAAGGTTCTTATTCAAAGAGAAACAGGATGTGAATTGTGGGGTGGGTATCCGATGAGATTTTTTCCCTTGAAGCTGAGATGAAGGTCAGAAATGTGGGTGGTGATGGGGAAGTTTTACAGGAAGTAGCCAAAGAACAGAATTTGACCGGAAGTACTCAAAATTATTCATAATATATTTTTAAAAAAAGATTTCTTTCAATTGCTGCTTTTCTTTTCCTTTTTTCTTTTTTTCTTTATCCTTTTTTCCTTTTTGCTCTTTCTCCTTATTGACTTTTTCTTTTTCTCCATTTTCTTTTTTCTTTTTCCTTTTTCCTTTTCCTTTTCCTTTTTCCTTCTTCCTTTTTCTTTTTCCTTTTCCTTTTTCTTCCTCATTTTTTCATTTTCCTTTTTCTTTATTCCTTTTTCTTTTTCCTTTTGCTTTCTCCTTTTTTCCTTTTCCTTTTTCCTTGTTCCTTTGTCTTTCTCCTTTTTCCTTTTGCTTTTTCTTTCTCCTTTTTTCCATTTCCTTTTCCTTTTTCCTTGTTCATTTTACTTTTTCCCTTTGCTTTTACTTTCTCCTTTTTTCCTTTTCCTTTTTCCTTTTCCTTGTTACTCTTTTTTCTTTTTCCTTTTCGTTTTTCTTTTTCCTATTCCTTTTTTCCTTTTCCTTTTCCTTTTTCCTTGTTCCTTTTTCTTTTTCCTTTTTCGTTGTTCCTTTTTCTTTTTCCATTTCCTTTTTCTCTCTCCTTTTATCCTTTTCCTTTTTCTTTTTCCTTTTCCTTTTTCCTTTTTCTTCTTCCACTTTTTTCTTTTCCATTTCCTTTTTCCTTTTTTCTTTTTTCTTTTCCTTTTACTTTCTCCTTTTTTCCTTTTCCTATTCCTTTTTCCTTGTTCCTTTTTCCTTTTCCTTTTTCCTAGTTTCTTTTTCTTTTCCTTTTCCTTTTTCTTTCTTCTTTTTTCCTTTTCCTTTTTCCGTGTTCAATTTTTTTTCCCTTTTCCATTTTCTTTTTCCTTTTCCCTTTTCCTTTTTCTTGTTCCTCTTTTTTCTTTTTCTTTTTCCTTTTCCTTTTTCTTTCTCCCCTTTTCCTTTTCCTTTTCCTTTTTCCTTGTTCATTATTCTTTTTCCTTTTCCTTTTACTATCTCCTTTTTTCCTTTTCATTTTCCTTTTTCCTTTTCCTTTTTCTTTGTTCCTTTTTGTTTTTCCTTTTTCTTTCTCCTTTTTTCTTTTTCCTTTTTCTGTGTTCAATTTTCTTTTCGCTTTTCGTTTTTCTTTCTCCTTTTTTCCTTTTCCTTTTTCTTTTTCCTTTTCCTTTTTCTTTTTCCTTTTCCTTTTACTTTCTCCTTTTTTCCTTTTCCTTTTCCTTTTTCTTTTTTTATTCCTCTTTTTTCTCTTTCCTTTTCCTTTTTCGTTTTCCTTTTCTTTTATTCTTTTTTCTTTTCCTTTTTCTTTGTTCCTGTTCCATTTCCTTTTTCTTTTTTCTTTTCCTTTTACTTTCCCCTTTTTTCCTTTTTCTTGTTCCTCTTTTTTTATTTTCCTTTTCGTTTTTTTCTTTTTCCTTTTTTTCTTTTCCTATTCCTTTTTCTTTGTTCATATTTTCTTTTCCTTTTTCCTACTTTCTTTTTCTTTTTCCTTTTTCTTTTTCTTTCTCCTTTTTTTCCTTTTCCTTTTTCCGTGTTCAATTTTCTTTTCCATTTTCCTTTCTACTTTTTCTTTTTCCTTTTTCTTTGTCTTCTCTTTTTCCTTTTCATTTTTTCCTTGTTCCTTTTCCTTTTTCCTTGTTCCTTTTTCTTTTTTCTTTTCCTTTTTCTCTCTCCTTTTTTCCTTTTCCTTTTTCCTTTTTCTTTTACCTTCTCCTTTTATCCTTTTCCTTTTTCTTTTTCCTTTTCCTTTTTCTTTCTCCTTCTTTCTTTTTCCTTCTTCCTTGTTCCTTTTTCTTTCTCCTTCTTTCCTTTTCCTATTTCCGTGTTCGTTTTTCTTTCTCCTTTTACTTTTTCTTTCTCCTTTTTTCCTTTTCCTTTTCCTCTTTCCTTGTTCATTTTTCTTTTTCCTTTTACTTGTTCCTTTTTTTCTTTTTTTTTTCCTTTTTCTTGTTCCTCTTTTTTTTTTACCTTTTCCTTTTTCTTTTTCCTTTTCCTTTTTTCCTTTCCGATCTTCCGTGTTCAATTTTCTTTTCCCTTTTCCATTTTCTTTCTCCGTTTTTCTTTTTCCTTTTCCCTGTTCCTTTTCCTTTTTCCCTGTTCTTTTTTCTTCTTCCTTTTCCTTTTTCTTTCTACTTTTTTCCTTTTTCCGTGTTCCTTTTTCTTTTCCCTTTTTTTCTTTATCCTTTTTTCTTTTTCCTTTTTCCTTTTCCTTTTTTCCTTTTCCTTTTTCCTTTTTCTTTTTCCTTTTTCTTTTTCCTTTTTCCTTTTCCTTTTCCTTTTCCTTTTTCTTCGTTCGTTTTCGTTTTCCTTTTTCCTTGTTCCTTGTTCCTTTTTCTTTTTCCTTTTCCTTCTTCTTTCTCCGTTTTTCCTTTTCCTATTTCTGTTTTCCTTTTCCTTTTTCCTTCTTCCTTTTTCTTCCTCCTTTTTTCATTTTTCTTTCTCCTTTTTTCCTTTTTCCTTCTTCCTTTTTCCGTGTTCAATTTTCTTTTCGGTTTTCCTTTTTCTTTCTCCTTTTTTATTTTCCTTTTCATTTTCCCTTGTTCTTCTCCTTTTTCCTTGTTCCTGTTCCTTTTCCTTTTTCCTTTTCCTTTTTCTATCTCATTTTTTCCTTTTTATTTTTCCGTGTTCCTTTTTCTTTTCCCTTTTCCTTTTTCTTTCTCCTTTTTTATTTTTCCTTTTTCTTTTTCCTTTTTCCCTTTTCCTTTTTCTTTTTTCTTTTCCTTTTTCGTTCTCCTTTTTTCCTTTTCCTTTTTCCTTTTTCTTTTTCCTTCTCCTTTTTTCCTTTTCCGTCTTTCTTTTTCCTTCTTCCTTTTTCTTTTTCCTTTTCCTTTTTCTTTCTCCTTTTTTCCTTTTCCTTTTTCTTTCTCCTTTTTTCCTTTTCCTATTTCCGTGTTCTTTTTCCTTGTTCCTTTTTCTTTCTCCTTATTTCCTTTACCTTTTTATTTCTCCTTTTTTCCTTTTCTTTTTCCTTTTTCCTTGTTCATTTTTCTTTTTCATTTTCCTTTTACTATCTCCTTTTTTCCTTTTCTTTTTCTTTTTTCCTTTTCTTTTTTCCATGTTCCTTTTTCCTTTTCCTTTTTCTTTCTTCCTATTTTCCTTTTCCTTTTCCTTTTTCCTTGTTCATTTTTCTTTTTCCTTTTCCTTTTACTATCTCCTTTTTTCCTTTTCTTTTTCTTTTTTCCTTTTTCCATGTTCCTTTTTCTTCTTTTTTTCCTTTTCCTTTTCAATTTTCTTTTCGCTTTTCCTTTTTCTTTCTCCTTTTTTCTTTTTCCTTTTTCTTTTTTATTGTTCCTTTTTTTCTTTTTCTTTTCCATTTTCCTTTTCCCTTTTTCTTTTTCCTTCTTCTTTTTTCCTTTTCATTTCCCTTGTTCCTTGTTCCTTTTTCTTTTTCCTTTTTCTTTTTCTTTCTCCTTTTTCCTTTTCCATTTTCTTTTTTCTTTTACCTTGCCTTTTTTCCTTCTTCTTTTTCTTTTTCTTTTTCTTTATCCTTTTTTCCTTTTCCTTTTCCATTTCCCCTTTCCTTCTTCATTTTTCTTTTTTCTTTTTCTTTTACTTTCTCCTTTTTTCTTTTTCCTTTTTCCTTTTTCTTGTCTGTCTGTCTTCTTTTTCCTTTTCCTTTTTTCCTTTTACTTTTCCTTTTTCTTTTTTCCTTTTACTTTTCCTTTTTCCACTTCCTCTTCCTTTTCCTTTTTTCTTTTTTTTTCCCTTCTCCATTTTCCTTTTCCTTTTCTTTTTCCTTTTTCTTTTTCTTTCTAATTTTTTCTTTCCTTTTTCTTTTTTCTTTTTCCTTCTCCTTTTTTCTTTCTCTGTGTTCCTTTTTCCTTGTTTCTTTTTCCTTTTTCTTTCTCATTTTTTCCATTTCATTTTTTCTTTTTCCTTCTCCTTTTTTCTTTTCCTTTTCCTTTTTCCTTGTTTCTTTTTCTTTTTCCTTTTCCTTTCTCTTTCTCCTTTTGTCATTTTCGTATTTCCGTGTTCCTTTTTCTTTTTCGTTTTCCTTTTTCTTTTTCCTTTTATCCTTTTCCTTTTCCTTTTTCCTTGTTCCTTTTCCTTTTCCCTTTTCCTTGATCCTTTTTCTTTTTCCTTTTTCTTATTCCTTTTTTCCTTTTCTTATTTCTATGTTCCTTTTCCTTTTTCCTAGTTCCTTTTTCCTAGTTCCTTTTTCTTTCTCCTTTTTTCATTTTCCTTTTTCTTTCTCCTTTTCTCTTTTTCCTTTTTCCTTGTTCATTGTTTCTTTTTCTTTTTTCCTTTTCCTTTTTCCTTGTTCATTTTCCTTTTTCATTGTTTATTTTTCTTTTACCTTTTCCGTTTTCTTCCTCCTTTTTTCTTTTTCCTTTATCTGTGTTCAATTTTCTTTTCCCTTTTCTTTTTTCTTTTTCCTTTTTCCTTTTGCTTTTTCGTTTTTTTTTCTTTTCCTTTTTCTTTCTCTTTTTTCATTTTCCTATTTCCGTGTTCCTTTTTCTTTTTCCTTTTTCTTTCTCTTTTTTACTTTTTCTTTTTCCTTTTTCCTTTTTCTTGTTCCTCTTTTTCTTTTTCCTTTTCTTTTTTCTTTTTCCTTTTCCTTTTTTCCTTTTCCTTTTCCTTTTTTCCTTTTCCTTTTCCTTTTTGTTTGTTCCCTTTCCTTTTCCTTTTTCCTTGTTCCTTTTCCTTTTTTTTCTCCTTTTTTCCTTGTTCCTTTTTCTTTCTCCTTTTTTCCTTTTTCGTTTCCTTTTTCCTTTTTTCCTTTTCCTTTTTCCTTTTCATTTTACTATCTCCTTTTTCCTTT